TATCGTGATTCGTGTAGTATTTGACAAGTGTCTAGAGCCTGGCCATCGAGCAATAAGACAAAAGAGGGAATCTAATCCTTATTAAAAGGAGACCAAAAAAGTGGCCTCTGATGGCGGACATATCCGGAAATGCGAATGCGCGAAATTTAAATTTTCCGACACTTATCAACAGTAGCTATATAATATTTTTCAGAATGTGTCTTAGACGAGAAAGTTTTAATTAATTATTAATGATAAGAGTCTAAAATGCGACACAATTGTTAAAAAACTTCAATATAAATAAGATTTCATGTGACATTTGGGACAAACAATAACATAACCCAACTAAATTTGATGTCAAACAAGGAGAGAGACTCTCTATCCTTGTTTAAAGTGGCCTCTAAAGATCGCACTTCCTGTCTAACAATATGTTTGCCCCCACTACCTTTACATTCCCTCTATTGTCTTTTTGCTCGATGAGCCTGACCCACTATTCTGTGCAGACTTGCGCAGTTCATTTGTATTCATTTCTGAACTCGGAGGTTTATAATATCTATTTATTATAACTTTATTAAATGATGAATAGTTCCTCGAAAAGCTGTTTTTTTAATATTTTTTGTTGCGCATGGTTCCAATAAAAATGTGTTATACAGAGTGTGATGTCATGTAAATACTGATGCCAACTTTAATTATTTTAGATGGAACACCAGGTATATTATTTAGTTATTGTGTCCAATACAAAATACAAAGAACTTTATCAATATATTGGATTGCCATGCTTTTATTTAACTGTTTTTATTATACCGGGTGGTGACTCGTCAAACGGTCCATAGGAAACTCAATAGGAAATTTTAAATTGTTGAATTGCTGCTTCCCTAATTATTTTACATCAAAAGTCATAAAAAACTATTTGTAGAGGATTAAATTCTAAATTAAAAACAAATGTTAAAACCGTTCTAGGAATCAAATGTACTTCAAAATTTTGCAAAAATATAATAGATTTTTCAGACCACCCCTACAAGTTAGGCCACACGTATTACAAGAATATATTATAACTTGTGTGTTTTATCATATTCATATCAGATGTTTGACAATTTGAATTGTCAATTTTTTTTATTTTATGATTAAATTATAAACAATGACTTTTACTAAATACTACTACTACTGAACAATATTACTTTGTGAACAATAAATTATATTGTTGACAAATCGATCAATATAATGAAATGTACTCAGTTGACGAAAAATCGCATATTGTTGTATTCAGGCAATAGCGCGAACCTTTTCCTGTCACTACCGGATCTTTATTGAACGTAAGATATTCTAATACACTAAAAGTTTAATTCCATGTTAAGTTATACAACAATTCAATGAATTCCAATATACTGTTACTGTGATCTTTATTACTAATAATAATATACGATAATTTCTAAACATAAAACTATAACAAATGTTATAATAAAAACATGAATAAAACATTTTTATTATTGCTCTTTTCTCCTTAACTGAGTACATTTTTTAATCAACTTAATTTTTCTTTTAAATAATAAATCACAAAATTTTGGCCATTTAAATCATAGATAAAAGTTGATTTAAATATTGTCAAGTATTATAAACGTTAATATGACAAAACGCAACACGTAATACACATTCTTCTCACGGCGTCTGGCCTGACTTTTAGGGGTGGCCTGAAAAATGTATTATATTTTAGCAAAATTTTGGAATACGTTTAAGTCGTAGAACAATTTTAACAATTGTTTTCGATACATATTTAAGTCCTCTACAAATAGTTTCCCATGACTTTTGGTGTAAAATAATTAGGGAAGCAGGAATTTAACAGTTTAGAATTTCTCACTGAGTTTCCTATGGACCGTTTGACGATTCACCACCCTGTATACTGTATTAAAGGCACAATCGTACATGAGTACTATATACATTATTAAAAACAAGTTGAGATATGAAAATGAACTCACTTTTCTTTATTGAAATTAGGTATAGAACCTTTTAAAATCATAAGGAGACACGCAGAGAGTGATCTATTCATTAACCACCCTGTATCCTAAAAGAAGTTAATTAAAACTATAACATGCAATATATCAAAGTTCTGGGAATTTTGTGCATAATCCAAAAAATTTATAATATACCTAACCAATGTTTCATTTAAAATAAGAAAGTTGGTATCATAGTAATCGATATGTAACATCAGTCAACATCCTGTATATAAAATAACAAATTTTTATTGGAAAAAATGCACAAAAGGTTATTTTTTTTAAATACTTTTTAAAAATATTTTATAAACCTTTAATTTTGATTTGCTATTATTTATTATTTTTTCTCTATTAGCTCTGATTGCTTGTCCTAGATAGATAAAAGCTAATAGAGAAAATCAAACAGCCGAAATATCGAGACGAGTAAGAATGGGATGGGCAGCGTTCGGCAAACTTTCTTACGTTCTAAAAAATCAAACAATCTCTCTATACTTACGAAGCAGGGTATATAACTCTTGTATCATACCGGTGCTCACCTACGGAGCACAGACATGGACATTTACACAGGCCAATTTGGATAGGATAAGGAAGGCACAAAGAGCGATGGAGAGACAAATGTTGGGTGTATCACTTAGAGATAGAAAACGTAACCAGTGGATCAGAACCAGAACAAAGACAGTAGAACGCGATAGAACAAGCAGCAAAACTGAAATGGAAATGGGCTGGACACAATGAACGTCTCCAAGACGGATGATGGAACAATGCCATCGGAAAGTGGCGTCCATACAATGCAAAGAGATCAAGAGGCAGACCACAGATGAGGTGGAAAGATGACATCAGGAAACAAGGAGGTCCCACATGGCAGAGAACAGCTCAAGATAGGGAAAGATGGAGAGAACTGGGGGAGACCTATATCCAACAATGGAAGGATAGAGAATAGGTTCAAAAAAAAAATTATTTACTATTAATTTTAGAGTTATTCTTATGCAACCAACAATACACACAAACCCCATTGTCTCATTCAGATGTGGATACAAATGAACTGCGCAAGTCTGCACAGAATAGTGGGGCAGGCTCTAGACACTAGTTATAAGTTGTGTTGTGTTTTATAAATGATCTATTTTTAGGGTACACTTTAGACGTTTCCATCTACTTCTTTTTTTTTCTACCAATAACCTCTTATCACTGTACAATCAGCCAAAATTTTTAGTAAAAAATTTATAATTGATGTGATTTGCCAGTTTGATACCAATTGATGGTATAGCCAGTTCGCTCAACTTGGAAATATTTTGAAAGATTCATTATATAAAAAAGTATACCACAACTTTATAAAATACCTAAAACAAAAGAATAAAAAAACAAAATAAAATATATCAAAACAAAATGTATAGGCATATGTAGTACTAACATTGATAACTGATAACAAGAAAATTTTGACTATGAATCTGTAATTAATAATAATTAAAATTCAGTAGATTTTAACAATCAACACAAACAAGCCTGGCTAATTAGCTCTACCAAAGCCATTTTTCAGAGAAAAAGTCTGCTTTTTAAAGTTTAGGTGGGTGTACGATAGCGTTTGTCATCGGCCACGATTCGTTCAGGAAACTGTAAGTATATTCAAATTATAAATGAAAAATAAATAATAGTTCATTTCTTGTTGATGCCAGGCCCTGAAGAATTACATCTCAATGGTTTTCGGGTTTTTCATTGCAGAGTAAAGTTACGAAAATATATAAATATATGGATTTACCACTTAAATATACACTTTTTTCAAAAAATATATATGTACTTACATCGGCCTACCTATAAGAATTTGGGTCTCAAGATTAAATTAGGAAGATACAATCAAACAACAGAGTTAAACATTAGAATGGGAGTAACATGGAAAATTTTTAGATCAGATATTCCCATGTGCTCGAAAATGAACGTCCTTGATCAATGTGTACTCCCAGTTCTGACGTATGGAGCAAAAATATTAACTCTTACCAGAAAAATAAACAATAAGATACAAGTGTCACGAGAGCAGTAGAGACGTCAACGTTGGAAAAATCTCACCGAGAAAAGAGTTTCAAATCAAATAGGTAGGAGAAAAACTGGTGTTGCGGACGCAATTAAAAGAATTACATCGCTGAAATGGAACTAGACATTACGTGTTACCTGAGTTAGAGATGGACAGTAATATGACCTGTAGCACAAATTTCTAAGCCAAACTTCTCCGTACACACAACTTCGGAAATCGTATTAGAGAACGATTTCTGAAGTAGAAATCAAAACGTCAAAATAAATGTATTTTCGAAAAGCCTAAGGAACACTTTATTTCAATAAAAATTACAATATCTAAAATGAAATTACATTTAAATCCTTAAATTTTAATCTAGTCTTCGGTTTCTCTGTTTTTAAATGTAGGTACTATGTGTTATTGGTCTAAATTAATTATCTTCATCAATATCGGTATCATCATCATCGTCGTCGTCATCATCACTACCACCACTATCACGAAAATCATCGGCACTCTGCTGCCACGCCAACACCAACTTATGTTTCTCTTCTTCGGATATCGTATAGTTTGGATTCATAATGTTTGGCAAAATCTGCAAAAAAATTAATTAGTACATGAAATGCGAAAAAAATTGGTATGATGATTAGAAAGTGAGTTTGATGATTATGAGGATTACAACGGCAAAGATTTTTCTCCAGAGAGTGACCATAACTCTGATTCTGAGATGGAAGATCAGAGGGACAATGCTAAAACACAAGAAAGTCAAGCTATAGGCCATCATTCTGTCTCCGGCTTCTATATAAAATGTAGCTTCTCCATTTCGTAAATTTTAAAGTGTTTGTTTGTCTTTGTTTAGTGTATTTGTTATGTCCCAATTTACATTTATGACATTCTGTTACTGCTGGATAGGCCACAACTGACGAAATGCCCCTGAGGATGATCTTGTGATCGAAAGTACTTGGGCAAGATTTGATTAACTACTGTGTTCGATATTTGCCTTGTGTCCCATCAAAGTTCATTTATTCGAACATTCAACCTTATATTGAAAAAAATATACGTATATGTTAAAATATATTTAAATCTAAATTGTTGTTGTACATCTGTAAAAAGCATTTTTAATGCATTATTTGACATGTCAATACTTAAAATAATACAAAATAAGTATTTTATCCAAACTAAGTAAATTATATTTTTTGACCTGCTAACCATTTTGAAGCAGCATAAGTGATTTCCTTTTTCCAACCCTACATTTCAATATCACATCATTCGTTCTATCTAAAATGGCAATATGTTCATCTAATGCTATAGTGTATTTTTATGTATGAGAGAGTAATAAAACAATGAATTATGTATGCAAATCCCTAAACTGTTGATACGGGTGACTCAATGAAAAACAGATATTTGTCAACAAGTTTACAGAAGTATATAGGAAAACAATTTTAAATTGAGTATGACCACCAGGTATAAAGGTTGGAGCAGAATAGAATACAATAGTTGTGAGGGTTACTAATCCCTAAATAAGGTTGCCAGTGTCGGAGTGATGGAGGTTAACAGGTACTAATGAATTTGCAAGAAATGTAAGATGTTTATTTTATTGGTTATATATAACCAATAAAAGTTTAATAAGTAACTACCTATTTGCAAAATAAAGTTTAATTCTTTAGATAAAATAAAACGTTTTATTTTATCTGAAATGAGTGCATTCCACGAAGTAAGGGTTTCAACAATCAAACATTTAATTCTTTAATTCCAGGAATCTACGACAGTAATTGACTAGATAATTACCTTCTAAACTTATTCCACAGAAAATGTGATAGTGGGTTTTTCCATTTTGTAGGAAGGTCCAAGTGGCGTATTCAAAATTCTTAACAGTTCACTAAAAGTAGGTACTTCAGTTGCAAGGTGCAGTTTATTGTGTATACTAGTGTTATGGAAAATTTGGAAGTGCCGTGTAAACGCCGAAAAATTGGTCCTTTAACAGTTAATGAAAAAACATTAATATTTAATTGTTTTAAATCATTTACAGACAAACGTTTATGTGAAAGTGTTGATGAGACCGTTGAGTTAGTTAGCAGTACACTTGGTGTTGGGAAATCTACGATTTACAGAGCTATTAAAGAAGAGAAATGTGGTAGTTTTCAAATGCCACGTAATGCTCCAGGGAAACCAAAATTTCAAATAGAATATCATTTTAAAGAAGGACTTCGACGGAAAGTGCATGAATTCTTTTTTGGACAAGAATTTCCAACATTGGATAAAGTTCTTGTCTCAGTTCGAGATGATAAGGATTACCCAGAAATGAGTCGAAGTACGTTATGGAAACTTTTAAAAGAAATAGGCTTCCGCTGGAAAAAGAATCCCAGAAAGTCTATTTTATTAGAAAGAAGCGATATTGTCATATGGAGAAGACATTTTCTAAGAACCATAAAGGAAATGAGAAAACCAAAAAGAAAAATATTTTATCTTGATGAAACATGGATCAACGAGGGTCATACACCAAATAAATTTTGGCAGGATGAAACTGTTACAAGTCAAAGGCACGCTTTTGTAAATAACTTATCTACTGGTTTAAACCCATCATCAGGAAAGGGACGCAGGCTGATAATAGTACACATTGGCAGTTCAGACGGTTTTGTTGAAGGTGGTTTATTAACTTTTGAATCAACTCGTACCGGTGACTACCATGAAGACATGAACGCTGATGTCTTTCAAGAATGGTTCGAACAAATGATAGATCTTCTTCCTAAGAACTGTGTAATAGTAATGGATAATGCAAGTTATCACTCCAGACTTATAGAAGGACTGCCCACAACCAAGTGGTTAAAAAAAGACTTGCAGAATTGGCTGAGTTCAAAAAATATTACGTACCATCCCGGATCTATAAGAAAGGAACTTTATTCGTTGTGTGCCCTTCATAAAGAAAAATTTAAAAAATACGAAATTGATGAAATTGCCAAAAATCGTGGAATGACAGTACTTAGATCCCCACCATATCATTGTGAATTAAACCCGATTGAACTGGTATGGGCACAGATAAAGAGTGAAGTTTCAAGAAAAAATACCACTTTTAAAATTCATGATGTTAAACAGTTGTTTTTGGAGGCCGTAAATAATGTAAAACCTGAAAACTGGGAAAAGACAGTAAATCACACTATTAAAGAAGAGGAAAAAATGTGGAAGCTGGACAATATTACTGATAAAATGATCGAGCCAGTTATTATAAATCTTGGTTCTGAAAGTTCATCTTCTGAATCTGATTTGGATTTGTAACAAGTAGCTGTAAGTTTTATATTAATATTTTTATTCATCTATTTAACATACCTTAGACGGTTTTAAAAACTCTTTTTCTCTTTTGTAGTTTTTAAAAATTAAAAAAAATGTGAATTTTTTAAAACCCTTTTTAATGTAGGCCAGTCAGTTCTAATATAGTGTGTGATAAAAGAGGTCACTTTTGTTTACATACACATAACACTTTATAACACTGAAATAATTCATTTATTTTTTACAATTATTCAAAGTAATTTTTCAATTAATCTTGAGCACGCCCATGGAGTGGTCGGAGTTACCAGTTAAAATTATGCTAATTACTCTCTCGTTCATAAAAATAAACTAAAAGGCTGCATTCTGGGCCTATTCTCTTGTGCTGGTACCTTTTGATAAAACAAATCAAACCAATCATTAACCTAAAATAATTACATTATTCAAATGTTTTAATACAAAATAATGAAGTACCTACCAATTTAAAAAATTGTGAACATTCTATCCAATTTAAGTTGTTGATATAACCAAGACTTTCACATCTTGAAGAGGCTTTAGAAATGGTGTACGAAAATAGTTTTGCTACATATTTTACCTTTTGTCATTGAATTCCCTGAATATTCATCAAATTTTTCGCCATTTTGTGTGCTATCAACAAATCAAAACCCTTTATTCGTTTTAAAACTTCTTCAACGGTATATCTTGTAATCTCTTTTCCATTAGTATTAAATCCAAAGCCCACCAAATTGTTTTGGATTCATTTTAATAAATGAGGTATATCAGCAAAAACATGTACTTTCTGTCTGTTTGAAGGATTTTCAAACCATGGTTTTTCTAAAGAGGCATTGAGTTCTGTATGTAAGGGTTTGTTTCCTGATTCCAGATCACTAACTATACCAACAATTGGAAATCTGAATGATTCAGCGAATTCAATAATCTCAAAAAGAATTTCTTTGGTAATACAACAATCATAATTATAAAAAATTGGTTGTTTCCACCTTCCAGATAAACTACGAATCATTACTACCTAATTGAAGGCTTTCAATTTTTCATCATTATGTCTATCATATAAAAAACCTTTTCTCAATTTCATTTCATCAGACGAGAGAATAGAAATTTTTTCCAAACATAGCATATACATTTTTTTTATAACATGAAAGACATTCTTTAAAATTCCTGGATTCAAATTAATTTTTTTTATCCAGTTTTTTAACGTTGATACTGCTGTAAAGGGATATCCTTTCTTCAATAACCGTATGTATGCCCTTGGTTCAGCTGAATGAATTACGATCCCCTTCGATATCCCTTCTACAGACCAAGTGATTCTTTTTTGGCTCCACTAGTTTAGTAATTTGCTTTTTGCTAAAAATATTTTTTATTGCTTCATTTTGCTATTCAAGTAACCTATTCTTTTGTTCAACTTCATGAAGTTTATTTTTGAGACTTTCCAATTCCAATTTACATATCTGAAAATTAAAAAAAAAACAAAAGAATTATGTATAGTAATACATATTTGTGCTAGTATAGTATGTGGTCTACCCTGAGGATGCAGTTTACCTGTGTATATCTGTTATAGTGTGCAGAATAAGCGGTCATGTCAGCGCTATCATTGCTTTTAAAATATGAAAGAGTGAGGCAACAAATGCAACAGATGTTTTTATATGTAAATGCCATGTGTCCGTAGAATAGGATTATTAGGAATTATTAATAGGAAATTTATGTGACGGTTTTCGTTGTGTTGGAACAAACCTATTTTTAATTCAAAGTTATAAAATTAAAAAATAAATACTTTGAATATTGTAAATTCATACCTTTTTAAGTTTCAAAATTAAAAATTTAACAAAAAAAAAGCATCGAAATTTGATTAGGCGTAGATGCAAAGTTAAATAAATAGCTCTGTTCGTACTCCTTTCCCACTTCCCCCTAACTACATCTTTCATGATAGTTTTAAGCCGGCTGCCAGGAGTGTTTTGAAATATAAACCGTAAACAAATCGCCCATTTGAACTGTTCTTCTGTAAGCGTCTATATTCTTTGCTCATACTATAGTAGCACCTACATATTTCATTTCATGATGTAGAAGCTAAGAAAAACATCCCAGACATCTACCCAGCATCATTAGGAATAATACCATTTATGAGAACCTACAGTTTCCCTAAAAACATTCAGAAAAGAAATACAAAATCTGACACAATGAAAACAATTTATAGTGATACCTACATTGTTTCCTTCTCTAATATCTGTCAACACCGTTTTTTAACATTTCTCCACTAATCAAGCATTACGTAATTTTTTACAGGGTTCCTCTAATCTGTTTCTTAAAAGAAAAGTACTTAATCCTTTTTCAAAATTTTTCTGCTCTTGCTGGCATTTTCTAATAATTCTGCCATAAAATCTCTTTCAAAATCATCACTAGTAAAATGTACAGAACACATTCTTGTAGTGAACACATTGAATTTATCAGATCAGTGACAAAAATGTATCCATTTCTTAGAAAAAACATTATCTTTGGAAAACTGAAATAAATCTAATTTCATCAGCAAAACCTTTAACTTGATTATCTTTATCACAATTGAAAACAGCTCACCTCATTTTTACACTTTTTAGTAGGTAGATCTCACTTTTACATAGATAAAATATAAAATAAACTTAGCTAACAATCAAGAACCATTCAAACTACACGCACTTGATTCTCTCCAACTATGTCACGACTTCAATCTCCCCTCTCTTCAGTATGCGCATTATCTCATCTTGTTAGTCATAGTGTCATAATAACAAATATATTATTTGCGAATTAACCCTAATTACCTCTAAAAACATCGGAAGTCACAATACTTAGAAATCGTATTGTGTCAAAATAAATTTTTTACAAAACAGTAAACTGTAAGTTTTAACACAAAAAACCAAAATACTACAAATTACTGTCACTGTATTTTTGAATACAAGAGTAGAGTAGAGTAGAGTAAATTTTTATTTGCATAAATTTTTAAACATAATTGAGCAAACGTCACATTATTAATTACAGATTAAAAAAAAATATATATATATATATATATATATATATATATATATATATATATATATATATATATATATATTCACATCACACATTTAAAATATATTAACATTACAAATTAAATATGCTGATCAAGGAGAATTATAGGCCAGGTACTCCGCCACAGTATAGGGCTCAATGTCAACTAGATGTTGAAAAAACCTTTCTTTTAAAAGCTCTATAGTGTGTTTCCTGTTTAATGTCAGATGGTAGACTATTATAAAATTTAACACACGCATACAAAGGACTTCTCTCTGTTATAGACAATCCGTGAAATGGCAAATTCAAATTAAGGCTTCTTGTATTATACTCATGATTGGGAAGCAGGTGATAAAACAAAGAAAATTTTTAAAAAGGAACATATTACATTCAAATATATAGATGGCTGAGAAAGTGAGTTAATGAGTAGCAGGCTCTATTCAGTTTTTTTGTTGTATTTTGTATTTGTTCCCCCCAATTCAGATTCTGGTCAATACGAATACCAAGAAATTGAACTGATCGTATACCTAATTTTAAATTGATCGGTTCAGAGTAAACCTTACATCCCCTTTTCTCCAGGCATACCTTTTGTGACCTATCTGTGAGAAATGATTTTATCCATTTTAATGCTGGTCCCTGTATTCCATAAAGATGTAATTTTTGTAATAAAAGAACATGATCTAGGCTATCAAAAGCCTTAGATAGGTCCAAAAAAGCACCCAGTGTTTTCATCTTTGCCTCCAGTTTTTCTAAAATTTTTGATATAAAATCATAGGTAGCTGTCTCAACAGATCTCCCTGCAAGAAAACCATGCTGTGAACTACTAAATAAGTTGTTTGTAGTAAAAAAGTTTTGTAGTCTGGAAATATATTGCTTTTTCAAGTATTTTCGTTAGATAGTGACCCGAGGGTCACCCTCCAAACCGAAATTACCTTGATTTTTGGAATTACCCTTAATCTCTTTTACCAATTGCCAAGCCATTTTAGTTTTATTTTCGCTATTTTCAATTCGTTCTTTATAACAATTTTTCCGAGACTGAAAGAGTAAAGAATTGTATTTGCGTTTTTCTGTCCTATAAATATCTTTATACTCAACATTATTGGTAGACAGTGTAAACAAAACATCAAGCCTAGATTTATAACGTTTTATATCATCATTTTTAAAGCACTTTTGTGATTTTTTTTATTTGCTGTATTTATCTCTTTGAGTGGAAAACATTCTATAAAAATTTTCTGAACTATACTCATAAAAGCATCCCACTGATTATCTACTTCTACAAAAACAGATACCCAGTCTACATTACCTAACATGAATTTAAAAAAAGTTTTAATCTCCTTGCTAAATATTCGTTTTTTTTATTATATTTGACTCAAATTCATTTAATTCAAATTTTACCTTTTGAGCAGTATGATCAGATGTATGAGGATTGAATACAAGGGAATCAAATATGTCAAGATTTGTAAAAATATTATCTATACAGGATTTATTGTTACCTTGTATGCATGTATAGTCTTTGATGGAAGGTTTTATATCAAAGGAGCTCAAAAACATTTTTAATGCGTCTGGCCACCTTGCACTCTCAAGCAGCATATCTAAGTTAAAATCACCAGCGAAAAAAATGATAGAGTCCTGGTCAACTAAATCACAAAGTATTTGGTCTAATTTATTCATTAAATTAATTAAAACTTGTGGGTCTTCTGTTCGGTAGATGGATAGGATTACAATCTTCTTCTTATTAATTCGCACCTCTGCAGCGGAACACTCAAAAACCGTTCTTTCTGATAAACTAAAAAATATCTTCCCGGGCTTTTACAATAAATGTGTCTTTGATGTATACCGCACTGCCACCATGCTCCTGTGAACTGCTTCTGCAATATGAAGAGATCAGTTTAAAATTCTGCACATTGTAGACCCGCAGTTGTTCTTCTGTTTTCCAGTGCTAAGTTAAACAAAGAGCAAAGCATTCATCATGATCTTCTAGGATAAAATTAATGGCATCAATACTTGTTTGTATTGATTGATTGCGTATTTAAGTGGATTACTGATAATTTCTTTTGGTGGGTGCTGTAGACTGTCTTTTGACACTGGGGTGCCTCTGTACATTCTGAAAATGGTTAAAAATTACACCATTCGGCCATAATTCTTGCTGCATTAAATGAGGTATTTTTAGTTCTAGAACAGTAATATTAAATGAACTTTTGTACTTATCTGTCCTGGTTTTCATTTTTTCACAAATAACATTTTCATCAAGTTTTCTTTCTTTTAGATAGTTAAGTATTTCCTGAGCTTCCGTTTTTGGGTCAAAACCTGACAGGAAAATCGCCATATGTTTTGTGGCTACACACATGATACTTCCAGCATTCTCATTGGTTCCCTGGAGTGGATCTGGTGGTTCAATAAGTGTTGGACAAGGTGTTTTGTAAAAACCTCTTTTTTTTGTGTTTCCCATTTATCATTTTCATCTTCAATCAGTGGATGGTTGGTATCTTTAACAGGCGTCACGGGTGCAATTGAACTGCTTGATATTCTTGGTTTAGGTGGCAGCTCAGACAAATCAACAGAACAAAGTGGCTGTTCTGTGACTGCTTCAACAGCTATTATTATTTTCCTCTAGGATTTGATTTTTACTTCTTAATTCACAAATTAGTTCATTTAGCAGATGAATGACTGTATTTTCCATGCCATCTCCACTTTTTAAGTTTATATTAGAATCACAACAAATCACACGCGTTTCATCTAAAATTTGAAGTTTTCCGGCCCAATCCCGTGCCGTGCATGATTTATGGAAGGCTTTTCCACACTTCACACATATTATTGTGCTTATTTTTTAGTTTTGCAACAAGTAAACTTGGTTTTTCACTCTAACTCTCGCGATCATCCTTATCAGACGCCATCTTTTTATTGGTGATCTTTTTATTGGTGCTGTTGAATATTGAATATTCAACAGAATGAAAACCATAAACCCTTTAATAAAGATAAGTCACGTCACTGGTAGATGGTAATTACTTATCTATCACTATCAATTTGTCCTAATTGCTTCAAGTTTTTGTTACAAAAAAAAACTGAAAGATAAAAACTAAAGCTATAAACTTTTCATTGCAGTTATTGCAATTTACAAATAAACAAATTGTTTTTTCAAAAAAGGAAGATGATCTTCATATACCTTGTACTAATTACGTATATCTTGATATAACTTTATAATTTAATTGTTAATATTTACTTGTAAAACAACAGTTTTTTGGGAACAATTGCTAATGACATCCTTCGAGGTTGATTGTTTTTTTTTATATCAAGAATGGTTTTAATAAAATTGGTCTTACAGTCCAACACCTAAGAGTATTTTCTATAGTTGTCTATGGAATGTACTTACCTTTTTTTCAAAACGATTCTGTAAACTCATCCAAGTTCTACATTTATCAAATAAACCTGTAGTCACTAAATCTACCCAATAGGCTCTACCTCTCAAAACATAGTATGCTTTTGTATCAATTATTAATTTCAGTATCAAATTATCTTCATCCACTGTATAACCAATTTTATAACCAGCCATTCCTGATGGTTCAAGTTTTGCTGAAACAAGTTTTAAAATTATATTCGGTTGTTTGCTTTTAGCTATTTGACTAAAACACAGAATAGAAAACATTCAAACAAAAATTAAGAAAAGTAATACAAATTAAGAAAATTATATAAAATGTTTAGTCCAAATTATTATTAGTCTAACTGCAGAAATGTTATGGGTTGCCAAGAATATATAGAATAAGATAACAACATTAAAAAATTCGTCTGGAAACATAATATTTTGAATAAGAAGACAGAATAAAAAGATAGGAAATGAACAATGTGAATGAAACTGTAAAAAGTAGATTAAACCACGGAAATTAATACGATGTGAATGAATGAAAAACATTGTTGAAAACGAAACAAAAAAGAGTAAATATTTTCATAACGGATTTACCGAAAATCGCATTTTTTTACTTGACCTGAAAAACCCAGAAAAATGTAATGCAGCAAGTTATAAAAACTATGAAAGAAGTAAAAAAAAGATAAAAGTGGAATAAGAAGCGGTAGATTATCAAAAATTGACAACACAAAAAAGAATAAATATAAAAAATATCAGTACTAAGTAATAAAATAGAGATCTCACAATACCTGTACTTAAATACCCTATTAACAAAAATATTAATTATATATAAACGTTATCCGCTAAAGGAATAAGAAATATAATTTTATATACCTATTATTTCGTACTATCAAAAAATATTATACTATTGCCACAGGGAATTCTTTTGAAGCAAGTGTTTCAAGTGTTTACTGTGTTTATACTGTTTTTGGTTTATAAATAACTAATTTAAATTTGAAATTTGTAGGTTATGTTTTTTCCTCTTCTATTTTATGTAGGCACATTTTCTATTAAAATTATTGTCAATTTTGTTATTATTCTTATTTAGTTACATAATATTTAAATAACGAATTTTATTCCAAATTAATCCTCAATTGTATTAGATACTTTATAATATAATAAATAAATATTTTACTGTTTTTGAAACAATTTTTTTACTGTATTTACAGGTATTTATAATGTCAACCAGCGTCAAAATATAGCAACAGCAACAGAAGAAGAGATAAGTAAATAAATACACCCAATTTATTAAAACAAAACAAATGTTGACTATATTTTTATTTTACTAGGTTTTTTACAAATCAATGCCTGATCTGGTGGTAGTATACCAATATATGAAATATATTAAAATCAGCAGTGAATTTTACTAATTTGTTTTAATTTCCATAATTTGAAATCAAAGTGAAAACAATGTACCGAGACAATGAAGATTTTGAAGAACGTAATAGACAAATTCTCTTTCAAGGCACAGCCGCTCTGGAAAGAACTGGTCAAAGTCTGGCAAGATCAACACAAATAGCAATTGAAACAGAGACTGTTGGAACTGAAGTAATTTCTGAATTAGATTCACAACGGGAAGCTTTATGAGAACCAGAAATAGACTAGGGGATGCAAATGAAGAATTAAGGAATGCTAAAAGCACTTTGAAGGCAATGGGACGAAATGTTTTATATAATAAGTTAATTCTCATTTTAATTATAATATTGGAAATACTCATATTGGCAGCCATATGCTTTATAAGGTTTATAAAATGATAAATTATAAGTAAAATAGATAAGTTACAAATTATAAACAATCTACTTTTTGTAGTACACATTAAAACACTCGATTTTATAATGATTTAGACATGTCCCCTGGAATAACTTTTGTTTTATATTTATTTGGACCATGTTTCTTCAAAAATAATAAAAAAAACCATTGAAAAATATGTAAATATAAAATATATGTATACAAAACTATAGAGTTATATCAATGATTAACTGTTTTAAAAACTTAAAACTTACCTCAAGACCTACAAAATTTAAGAAATCAGCAGAAATGGTTTTGTGTGCCTTAGATCTTAATATAATTCTAATTTTTGGTTGTAGTTTTTTAATATACTTACATTTTGTAGATGTTGATACTATTCTTTTGTATAAATGGTATATCTGTAAATAAATATGTTATAATGATGCTAACTGAAAGTATTCTAATAACTTTAGGTGCTTTTTATCCTATATCAGCTTTAAGTTGCTGCTAATGATTAATTTGGCAGTTACAAATATAGATTCTGTGTTCCGGTAAAAATTAACCATCTAGCCAGCAAGTGTTCTTTAAAGAACTCATTTTTGGAAAGCTGAAAAACCTATACCGTAATATTTTTATCATTTAAACCCGTGCTGTTCCATCCATCAACAGGTGTTTTACATTTACTGAAAAGATTAATGCAATCCAAAATTTGGTTTGCATGCAGCTATCAGTATTGTTTGAAAAGTCAATGCATCAATAATTATTTGTTGAAACGACCACATGTTGTATCAAATATAATTTGTATTCTGAATATCCAGTTGACTTGAGAATTTTTTGGCAAGTAACATAAATGTCTTTTATCAATATACATTAGTTTGATTACAGAAAAAAACAGTTGTAAAAAATGTTTGACAAAGTGAAGCGTTCTTTAAAGAACGCTTGTTGGCTCAAGGAAAAAAAAGTGAACTTATTTTTGTTTTTTTTTATTTTAGAAATGGATTATTAGTTTGCATTACAGAAAAAAACAGCCTTTATTTATGTAACTCGGCTGTCAAAAATTGTTTTTATTTATATCATCATTGAAACTAATAAATATTTTGATACCACTTTTATATAACAAAAAATATATTATTACTGAAACCAACTTTTTTTTGCTTAATCCGGCAAGTGTCCTTTAAAGAAACGCTTCACCAACCAACTTTTTTTGCTTAATCCAGCAAATGTTTCTTTAAAGAATCATCATCATCATCCAGCCGAATTTTCACATCCATTGTTGGATATAGGCCTCCTCCAAACGTCTCCAGTTCTCTCTATCTCTAGCTGCTGCAATCCAGTTTGTTTCTATTCTCTTTAGGTCGTCGGTCCATCGGGTGGGTGGTCTGCCTCGACTTCGCTTGTCGGCTCTTGGTCTCCACTCCAATAATCTCTTCGTCCATCTTCCGTCTTCCATTCTAGCAATATGTCCAGCCCACCTCCACTTTTGTTTATTGATTCGCAGTATAATATCGTCTACACCAGTTCGTCGGCGTATCTCCTCATTTCTTAAGCGATCTTTTAAGGTTAGGCCCAGCATTGATCTCTCCATTCGCCTTTGCTCCGTAGGTCAAGACTGGTAAGATGCATTGGTTTAAATGCCTTCCTTTTCAGGTGAATTGGGATATTTGTTTTAAAAATGTCTCTCATCCGTCCATATGCCGCCCATCCCAACGTGATTCGTCTATTTAGCTCGCAGAGCTATTTATTCTTTAAAGAATGCTTCACCTTTTTTACCTAGAAAGTGAGCCAATAAACTTTTTTACCTGTTTTATTGCTTTTTTAGTTTTTTTTTACCAATAATTGCCTAGAGAAAAATTCCCAATTTTCTATCTCTATTATTTCAGTTTTGCCTGCTAGAGGGTTAAAGTCCAAATTACTGTATGCCCAGGATAAATGTGAATGTGAACTGCACACAAACTAGAGGAGTAATATAGAATTTGTTTGTGGTTTAAATTACAGTATTGCCAGGACTTATATCTTATACATCCATGGCTTATATAAATATTGAATTATTTCTTCAAAATAATGACTGTATAATGAGTTGCATAATTATTTAAAATTTGTAAATTTTAAATGGCCATTTAACATTGTTACTTGGTGATAAAATAAATGTATTGTGATGGTTTGAAACTAATTACACTTTATTGAGTATGGTAATTTCCATCATCTACCATATACAAGAATATATCTATAAAAAGAACAGACTTATAATAAAAAGTAGAATTTGGAATTAAATCAAATCCTCATCCATATCATCAGTGTTGATGTCTGAGGATATACACTATCTTCACCTAAATTAATAACACTATAGCAGCATCAAACAATGGCTCCTTTGAAATGAAATCATCTTCAGTCATTTTCACTTCGTTTACAGTTTTTTCCAGTCTTCTACTGATATTTCAAAAGACACATCTGATATGATGATAATGTCCAATATATCTAATAATGGAATCAATATTCAGTTTTACATATTTCAGTTTATATGAATGTAATGATACTTGTATGTTCTGAGAATGTCAGAAAAGTAATATTTTTAACTTTTAGCCAATCTACCATTTTAATCATTTAATAATTTTTCTTCTAAACAATTTTTGTGACAAAATTCATACATTCATGATTATCACTTGATTTTGTTTGGGACTTCCATTTCACATAAGATCCACCAACAAAATCTGCTTTTCTAAATTGTTCTTTTAACTTTAGTTTGATGGCCTTGGCCGAGCCAATTAGCCAGACAAATTTTCTAAATTGTTTAATCTATATTAAATACTAGTCTTATATCATGTTTTTCCATTATTTCAATTTGCCATTTTTTCCAATGTAAACTGCCAACCTTGGTCATCATGTCACAAGAAACCATAGCGCAAAGCATTTGAAATTAATAATATAATTATCAGTGTATTATTTTAATCATTTGGTCAAAAGCTTGCCACATAAGATTTTTTGTCTTTGTCTAAAAGTTTCCATGTTCATTTAATTTTCTTCCATACCATCAGTTTTTTTAATATGCTCCTTTCATTATAACATTGCAAATTATTCACTGATAGAACAATGAATAATTTATTTCTATCCTAAAATTTTAAAACTAAACTTTTCTAAGCTAAAGTCTTACTCAGCGATATTTTTTTAGTTACTATGAGACATTGACTATTTACACCAAAGTTACTATGTACATTACCACACTATGCTCTGATTTTGTGATATAACTTCATTGAAACACTCTTTGTGTTTAATTCTCTAGAGTTGTCTTATTTTGTCAAGTAGCTGGAATGCCCTGACATTATCAATCCCCAGGCCTTTTGTGGATGTTAAAATATATCCTATAGTACCTTGTTCTGGAAATATTGGATTACTTTATCTGGCATAACTCCTTGGTTGTATAATTCCAAACATGCTTCAGTCAAACAAGCAACCAGTACATTTTTTTATATCAAGCTCTTGGCATGTTGCCCAGTAGTGATGGGCTAAATGGTTCATTTGAATTAACTCACTGTGATGTTTCGAAAATATTGAAACAATTGACAAATTTTACCTGATACTGTAACTTCATAATGTGTCATCATAACAATTGTCAGTCGCTATGCAAAAATATAATATTTCGTGCAGATTCATTTTGTGTAGGATACATGACAGAAATGTGATTGGTAAAGTATTGTTGAACAATTAGGGATTGCTAAGGGATCTTGCTAAATACAAATTTATTGTTTTAGGTGTAGGTTAGATGTTTAGTCTGGTTTTATTTAATTTAGATTTTTTTCTCAGTAGTATAGATTTTCATTACCATTTTTAAATGAATACTTATCATTATCAGTTGTATCGAATAATAATAATGTTTCGAAACAGTAAACATTTAATGTATCGAAACATTGAAACAGTTCTGTGACTTAATTCATTGCTTTGAAACATCGACTCACAAGCCAACACTAGTGCCCAGATATTTTGAGTATTCTCATGCTTAATCTGAACATCAATTTTTTGATTGGGATATACTGTCTCCTTTAATGAAATCTGTATGAATTAATTTGAGTTCGTTTAGCTTGATTTTTAGTAGAACTGAAATAATTACCAGATCATTAGATAACTGGTCCAAGAAAACTGGCTCTAATATATGTCTCATCATTGGGAAGCATCTCTTCAATACATATGATTTTAGGAGTAGAGATTACTGTTATGGTAGGTATAGTGTTGTTTATGCAGTAATCTTTGCCACATCTTGTCAAAAGCTTTAGCCACATCCTAGGAGATGGTAGTGCAAACCTTTTTCCTTTCAGCGTCTTTCTACTCTGTTAGAAATGCTGTGTATTCAGTCAATACTCGATTGGGTTTCTCCACAACAAATTGTTATGATCGGATTACATTTTTTTTCTTTAATTATTGGCTTCAGCATTTTATTATTGCCGTTACTTTTTTTATTAGAGTTTTGAAGTTTAGGACAAAATGTGGTAGTTGTCAACAATCATTTCAACATCAACGTCATTGTGATTAGCACACCATATATTATTAAAAATTTATTATTTTCTTGACATTATTTTATCTTTACAAATGCTATTCTTTTATTATAGTGGTTTTACTTTAAACTTTGAAATGTGGTGTAAGAATAGGGATGAAATTTTTGATTAATTTGTTGAACAAACATAATGAAAGCTCGGGATAAGCAATATAGTGACCAAGAACATTAATTCTATGATCCTTTTTATCAAAAATCAACTTGGCTGTTACTTTTTTTTCAATAATCAAAATGTATTACATTTTTAAGTAATGTCTTCTCAGTGTAACAGGTTGTTTGTGGTCGATCTGGATATCTTTTAGCAGATAAAGCACATGTTCTAGTAATAACCATCTTCCAGAACCTACAAATGCTTAGCTTTTATTTCTTCTGGTAATTGAGTCCTAAATTACTTTTTGCCAATAAAAAATTATATTTGCAATATAAACAAACTAATCAACAATTCTGTCTGCAATATAAATAAAACTAATGTTATTATTTCATGATTAAAGTATTAATCAAACAATAATTATATTACTGGTTTATCACAAAATAATTTATCACTCAATAGAAAGTCAACCAATATTCAATGTTTTTCAATCACAATTGTGTTTTCATTATCTTACAAATAATGTTGATAAAGATATTCCTTATTGTAACTAATATTCTCAGCAATAAGAATGTCAAAGTTTATCATTTGATTGATAATTAAAATTTAGGACAAATTGTTGAGTTCATTTTATCTTGTTTCATATAGTAGGAAATCAAACCTTAAGTGAAAATTGATCAGAAAATGTAACAAAATGGTTTTGATTTAGTCGTGATCCTCTGTGTAATATAGTTTAAATATTTAGATAATTGAATACACCCAAATTTAATAAATAATTTATTCACATTCTTTCAGATACCCTAGATGCAACATTTCTCAATTGTCCATAAACTTTAGAAGGAGGTGAACCTAAAATTAGATTACATACTGCTCTTCTTGCCAGAGCTATATTTTGAAAGCTACCTAAAATGTGAATTTTGCTATCTGCTAATACTATTCTAGTTTTTGTAACATTTTCTATTGTGAATTTAGTTCTTCCCCCTTTTCCAGCAAGTCTTCCTATAGCTCTAGACTGATGGTCTCCCTTTAATGTTTTTACATCCTTAATTTCAAAGGTTTCTACAAACAGATCATCTAGACGAATTAAGGCAAGGGCATCTTCAACTTCAAAACCATAAACAAAAGCCTAAAAATAAAAAAAAATGTCATGTTAATATTCGAGCACCACTACTTTTTCACAACTGAATATAAACCAACTAATAGTAAATTCCTAACACATTTGACTTTAAAAACCTAAATGTTATATTAAAATCATAGCACAATCATTAGTAAGTGAAGCAGAATTCATTGATATAAATTTTATCTCTGCAAACATGGTTCCGGCTTATTACACTAGTACCAAATTAATAAATTGAATTGAAAGAATAGTAAGTTTTATCAAAATAAATAATTACTGAATATTAATTGCATAAACTTACTTTGACGAAATCTGCAGCTTTTTGTAAATTAGCAATATCTGGGGTTTCCTTACATGCCCTGATTTCTACGTTTCTGGTTTTTAAATTAAATCTAATTTGGAGTTGCAAGTGCTCAACTACAGGTGTGAATATTTTTAACCAATTTTCTTTTAATGGTGAGTATCGATGTGATGGTACAGCTACCTTTCTCATGTCATCTTTGGTTTCGGAAAATGATTTAGATCTTGCTTTTTTCGTTCTTGGTGCTCTTACTTTGTTGGTTCCTTCTATACCATTGACAATTTCCACTTCCATGTCTTCACTAGTGGACACCCCCCGTTTTTGAGCCTTTTTTGGCTCAAAATTGTCTATGTCAATATTTATTTCAGCCATTTTAATGAGTAATGGGCTAATTAGGGTGATAAACTTAAAATATTGTATATTTACATGTGATCACAATTTAACCCCAAAATAAAGGAACCTGTCACATGTCACTTGTAGCTTATCATTATTTTCTTCTATTAATATGAAGGCGATATAGTACCTACTGGCTGCAAGCTATTAAATGTAAGAGGAGATTTTAACTTACTTTAACCTTTAGTGGCTTATTCCCGTTTAAATAGCAATTACTTTAAAATGCCACAAGAGAGTAGCTTCAGAACATCGAGTTAAAATCTAGATTCTAACTCTAACTCGATGCTTCAGAATAATAATAAAATAAAAGACGAATATATGCAATACTATACACACACCAAATAGAAATGTTGCCTATTTTGTGTAGTCGTAGGGTGTTTAAAAATTATTATATCTGAATTTTTAGGACATGTTTATACTCGATAAATAAATATGGTTTAATAATTTAGTAAATTACAAGAAGTTAAAACCAAGATACTAATTTTAACATAACAATATCTAATCTTCAGAATTCAGTAGGTACTGTTCAGGCGTAATACTGATTGGTTACCATTGGTTACAAACAGTTCTATTATTTTTAATATCATTTATATTACATATTACCGGATTTGAATAACTAGTTTTCCAAAAGCAGGAAATATACCAATATAAGTAGTGAATATGTTTTACATCTGGTCCAAACGATACCAAGGCATCTTTAAAACACTATCAATTATATCAGAGAATTTAATATTAAATTATAAAAATTACCAAATAAATATAAAAATAGAAATCTGGAATATTTGGAATGCTTTATGAGTATCTAACTACTATATTTATAACCATAAAGTGTACAGTCGAATCTGTACAGATTCGACATACGCACTTCACCTTCTAGATCATAATCATTCTTTTAATGACAAATTTAAAATTCTTCACATTCAAAATAAAGGCCTTAAGCTATCTTTGTTAGAATCTATGGAAATCAACAAATTAAAAAACACAGATATAGTTCTGAATGACCAACTTGAGACAAACAGTTCTCCCCTCCTCAACCTATTTCATTAGAGACAATCAGCCGAAACAGCTGTAGTGATAAGATTTAAAATAAATTTGGTGGAAGTTTGAAAACAAAGTTTTCAGTGTTTTATTGTTACATAAAATGAATTTCTATCAAGTAACGGTCGAATCCATCAATTATTTAAAAGAAATATGAATTGCTTATGAAATTTATTAATTAAATACTCTAAAATAATATTATGATTGGAGAATCCTAGTTGTTGAGGGTAACAAATACGCCATAAAATGACCAACACAGTTCATTGAATTAGTATAACTACAAAATCAAACAGTGACATTCAGATTCTTGATGCTGAGATAATTTTCCACCTCACCCAATTCTTTCAATTATTATGACTCATAATAATACTAACACGGAGTTACTGTAGTTACAAATAGCTGCCCAATTTGCGGTTCGAAACGCGTAGATTACTTTTTTCAAATAATTATCTGAACCAATTTATCGAACAGTTCGGAATATGCTTAGGAAATAAATGGTGTACTGTCAGCTTTGAATGTGTGGTTAGTCTATGTGGTGCAGGGGATGAATGACATGCGTTAGGTGGGAATTTCCATATAATCCTGTAAGAGTAGTCTATTGTGTTTTGCTAAAGAGATTAAATAAATAAATTGGCTTAATATTTACTTTTTGGATAAGTGATGAGATCTCTATTCTCGGTAGGGGCCAGTGTTGTACTAGAATTAAAGTATATTATTTCTCGTGTTTATTAATCTATCTTATCCGAGATACTCAATATATGATGGAACAACGGAGACAATTAAAAAAAGACAACAATAAATACAGAGAGATAAACCACGAGATCAGGAAGATGATAAAGCAGGAAAAAGAAAAATACTTTGAAGAGAAATGCAAAGAGATCGAAGACCTTCAAAATAAATATGATCTGTTTAACCTACACAAGAAAGTTAAAGAACTGGCAGGACTAAGAACAACAAAATCTCACTCGTGAAATTCTGGATAGACACGGGACTACTATAACACATACTGACGAGAAAGTACAAAGATGGGCAGAATATATCGACGAATTATTCGATGATGAAAGAGGAGATCTGGAGCACGTAGAACTTACGTCAGAAGAAATAGGTCCATATATTACAAAAGAAGAAATATTAAACGCATTAAAAACAATGAAGAGTGGGAAAAGCCCTGGACCTGACATGCTTCCTATAGAAATCCTAAAAATTCTAGATGAGAAGCATTTTGATGTTTTAGTGACACTCTTGAACCACATTTATAGTTCAGGCGTATTACCCAAAGAGTGGTTAACGTCAATTTTATTTGTCTTCCCAAAAAGAAAAACGTAAGAGAATGCAGCGATTACCGCACCATTAGCTTGATGTCTCATGTGCTAAAGTTACTGCTGAAAGTAATCCATAACCGAATATATCACAAACTGGACATAGACGTTAATGATACACAATTTGGTTTTCGCAGAGGCTTAGGAACGCGTGAAGCTATTTTTTCACTTAATATACTGATACAAAGATGCCTGGACATCAATCAAGATATATAATATATACGCATGTTTTATGGAAAAAAAACTACAAAAACTACAAAAAGGGAAACAGGAATGACTGCAGTAATTACCGAGGTATCAGCATTACGTCATCCACTGGCAAACTGTATGAAAGAGTTCTGAAAGCCAGAATAGAAAAAGAAGCCACAGAGATCGAAGAACAAAGTGGATTCCGACCAGGGAGATCTTGTGTCGACAATGTATTTACTCTCAGACATCTAACGGAAAAGAGATTAGCAAGAGGACTAGAACTTTATGCTACTTTTATAGATCTCCGTAAAGCGTTTGACTCCGTACCACTGCAGAGACTATGGACAACATTGGAAAACGCAGGTATAAATGCAGTAGGTATATATAAATGCCGTGAAAAAGCTATGTCAAGATAACCAAGCTTATATTAAGGTTGGAAACAAAATTTCCAAGGGTTTTACCCAAACAAAGGGTGTCAAACAGGGCTCTTGCCTCTCCCCAACCCTATTTAAAATATATCTTGGTAATGCTTTAAAATATTGGATGAGAAAATGCAGCCCAATGGGCATATGGGTAAATGACACTCCTATATACACAATCCTCTTCGCAGACGACCAGGTAGTTCTTGCCGAGGACCTACAAGATATGACGTACATGATAAACAAACTAATAGACGAATTCAAAAAATGGGGATTAGAGGTTAATACCGAAAAGACACAATACATGAATATAGGAGGCATCGGTCAAGACATGGAAACAGAAAGCGGATTAATTAAAAACGTTGATCAGTACGAATATCTCGGAGTTACACTAAGCGAAGACGGGAGAGACGACAAAGATATAACAAGAAAAATAGGAAAAGGAAAAAACATGATAAAAACACTACATCCGATCCTGTGGAATAAAACTTTAACTAGGAAAACAAAGAAAAATATATATCAGGCTATGATTCAGCCGGTGCTGACGTATGGGTCAAAAGTGTGGGTTTTTAACAAGAATATGTCACAAAAACTCCTCTCAACGGAAATGATGTACTGGAGAAGATGTTCCGGGTTAACTTTGTTTGACCACATAAGAAATGAAAACATATTATGTAAAAGTAAAGAACACAATAATGGATACGATAGCCAAAAAACAATTAAAATGGTATGGACACCTGAGACGGATGAACGAAGAAAGGATACCACGAAAGGTTTGGAACTGGAGACCTACACAGAGAAATAAAAGGGGAAGGCCAAGAAAGAAATGGATATCCAATATTCATATAGAAATGGAAAATAGAGGTCTTCAAAAAGGAGACTGGGCCGATAAGAAATTATGGCGATTGAGATGCGAGAAGCGACAAAATTAAAGTTGCAAACACTCGCTATATATATATATATATATATATATATATATATATATATATATATATATATATATATATATATATATATAATATATATATATATATGTTATGATTTTTGAGGATGCAGTCAGTTTATTTGGCCCACAAGACAAAGAAAACTCTTTGACTTACTGTCAAGCTTTCGAATTTTATTTAATTCTTTTTCAAGACATCTATAAAAAGAAATATAAATTAACTAGTTAAAATTGTTAATTGTCTTACTTACTAGTCGTAAAAAGAAAAAGAATTGAAAAAGAATTAAATAAAATTCGAAAGCTTGACAGTAAGTCAAAGAGTTTTCTTTGTCTTGTGGGCCAAATAAACTGACTGCATCCTCAAAAATCATAACTTATATTTAAATCAACAGTCAAGAATACCACCATCTTATATATATATATATATATATATATATATTTATATATATATATATATATATATATATATATATATATATATATATATATATATATATATATATATGTTTTATTGACTATAATAAAGCATTCGACAAAGTACAAAATAAACAATTAATTAATGTCCTAAAATCAAAGAAGATAGACTACAACGACCTCAGGATTATATCAAATTTATACTATAAACAGCGAGCAAAAGTTAGTGTTAACTGTCGCCAATTCTTTTTAATGCCTGCTCCGAAGAGATCCTGAAAAACGCTCTTAAGGGTGAAACAGCTGGAATAATTGTAAATGGAGTTCCCATTAACAACATTAGATATGCGGACGACACTGTAATCCTAGCCGAAAATATTGACGATCTTCAGAGACTGGTGACCAGAATAGCGGAGTATGGAAAAGAGTATGGTCTAACAATGAATGTCAAGAAGACGAAATTTATGAGAATATCGAAAACTCAAAGAGATAACGAGAATCTTCTAATAAACGGAACCAACGTCGAACAAGTGAACAAATATGCATATCTGGGAACGATGATTAACTCCACAAATGATTACATTTAGGAGATCAAAATCAGAATAGAAAATGCTAGAGCAAATTTCAACAAAAAGAGAAGGGATTTAAAATTGGAACTAAGAGTTAGGTTGGCGAGGTGCTATGTTTTTTCGACTTTATTTTATGGAATGAAATCTTGGACCTTAAATGCGACAGCAATGAAAAAACTGGAATCATTCGAGCTGTGGATGTACAGAAGAATTCTAAAAATATCGTGGACGAAACACGTCACAAGCAAAGAGGTTCTGAGAAGGATGAATAAATAAATGGAAATTTTAAATACAATTAAAACAAGGAAATTGGAATATCTTGGACATATTACACGTAGAGAGAAATACACCTTGCTCCAACTGATTCTGCAGGGAAAGATCCAAGGAAAGAGAAGCATAGGTAGGCGTAGAATGTCATGGCTGCCGTTTTCAGAGCAGCCGTCTCAAAAGTCCGAATAGCTATGATGATTGCCGACCTCCGCCGCGGAGATGGCTCTTGACGAAGAAGAAGAATCTATCCTACGGCTGTATTTATTTTATGAAATGTTCGAGGAAATCTTTTTTATTACACTAGGAGAAAAATTTTACATTAAAAAAATATTTTAATAAATCAAATGTCCCATTAATTTGGATTTGGAGCGAAACATGCCTTCTTGGCTATGTCTTGGGATTATTAATTTTTATCGCTTTTAATACGTATGAGTTTTTAAAAGACCCTTGTTCTTAAAAGACGTTTTTTTGTAATAAATTATGTTTGGTACTATATTATTTCATAAATGATACGTTTTCTTTTAAAACACTCCATTCAAGTATTAATTATACATAATCCCTTTTAAAATCTTATTGGTTTTTAGATAAAAGCGTTCTAAAGCTTAATATTTTCTTATCTTAAAGTACACATCTCCTTCCCAAAAATTGATTAGCTTGGGCCTAATTTATAAAAAGCCAAAATCCCATTTTAGTTGTGAGTCTGAGCATTCAGATGTGTATCTTTGTAGTTATTGAGAAACTCACAATTTTGTGAATCTCTCCCTCTACCAATTTACATGTTGCCGCACTATTTACTCGCAATCTCATTTTCTTATGTCGAGGTCAACCACCCTTAGCAATATTTTTGCCGAAGAGGTAAAGAGTATCGTATTTCTTCATCCAAACCCATTAGTGCTCAGAACTAAAAAAGTTTGAAAGTTGAAATTTTTGTTACAGA